GCCTACAAGCCTTAGCTGGGCCTTCCAGCTACTCAGGAGGCAGAAGCAGGCAGATTGCAAGATCAAGATTTCCTGCCTGGGTTATAGGATGAATTCAAGATCAGCCTGGGCAAGCTCAAGAAACAAGGTAGACAGAGGGCTGAGCATACAACACCATGCTGCCACCTGCCCACGACTAGGTTCTATCTGAAGTACAGACGGTGAGTGACATGAATGTGAGAGAGAATCCCAGGGGAGAGGCAAACTTTTAGAAAATGGATGTCTTTTCATCTTCCATGAAAGAAAAATGACATGGAGACTGATCACCAATTTGGGATTTGACTCCCTGACCATTACACAAGGACACACAGGAGACACCTGACGGCAAGGGATCTGTGTACGCATAACAAGCAAGCAGCATTAGATAGCACAATCTCACAATCTTTATATTTTCAGGGTTTTTTTTTTTTTTTTTTTTTTTTTTTTGAGACGGTTTCTCTGTGTAGCTTTGTAGACCATGCTGACCTTGAACTCACAATGATCCACCTGCCTCTGAGTGCTGGGATTAAAGACATGTGCCACCACTACCATTTTCATGTCATCTTTAAAAAAAAAAAAAATGAATCTAGTTTAAAACAAAAAGATGAGCTATGGTGATCTGAATGAGAATGGCCTTCACAGGTTTAATATATTTGAGTATTTGATTAGCAGTGGTCAACTATTTGAGAAAGGTTGGGAGGTGTGGTCTGGTTGAAGGTATGTCATTGGGGGTGAGTTTTGATTTTTCAAAGGCCTCACACCATTCCTAGTGTGCTCCCCTTTCTGCTCTTGGTTGTTCCTTTACCCCACCATCACGGACTCTAACCCTCTGAAAATATAAGCCCAATTAAACATTTTCTCTTATTACTTGCCTTGGTCACAGTTTGTTTGTTTGTTTGCTTTTGCTTTTGTTTTGTTTTGAAATCATAGTGTGAAAATAACTAAGACAACAGAAGGAACTAAGGCAGAGAGTGAGCTTTTGCTATGACGGGCCTGACCTTGCTATAGAAAAGTTTGGGACTTAGGACTAGGAAAGCAGTTGAACAGTATAAGCAGAGCATACCAGGCCAGCCTATCAGGAGCTTGGAAGACAATTGGGCTATTAGCAGTGTGGACTATGGAGGACCAGCTCAAGATGCTTTAGAGAATGTTTGCAATGGGGGCTAGAGACCATTCTTACAGTGTTTGGGCAAAATATGGCTGCTCTTTGCCCTTGTCTGAATAATTTGCCTGAGGCTAAACTGAAAAGTAATACTGATTTCTTTGGTGGAGGAGATCTTTGAAAAGCCCAATATTGAATCTATTACATGGCTGTTAGTAATTACTTTTATGTAGGCCTACAAGGAAAATAACCAAGTGGGGCAAATAGATATACAAAACACACAGTTTAAGAGAGCAGTAGTAGACTTAAAGTTGGAGCCAAGGCTTGTGCTAAAAGAGATGAGGAGATAAAGGAGAGGCCTGATCAGAAATGGAATAAAGGGAGTGGTGCCCTCAGGGAAAGATTTCACACAGCTAAAGTTCCAATTGGTGAAAAGGCCTATGGAATTATCTGCTCCTTAAAAGCAACAATGAATCAAAGCTGGTATGTGAATCAAGGGTGCCAAGTTTTACCCCTAAGATGGTAGTCAAACTTGCCAGTGCCAGCCATGTGGTTCTGGGTTTAGAGTCATGAAGGATATATGAGTACAGGGGCTGTGGAATCCTCCTCCACAGTTAAGGAGAGCCAGTGAGGACAGGTATATGGCAGGGGACTCTGCATGGAGACCCTAAGAGGTCCCTGCATGAAGCTGTGAAAGACTGCACTGGAGCCTCCAAGGGTTAGAAGTGTCAGAGCTGTGTGGTAACTGCCAAGAAGAGCTGCACAGGAGTGGGACCAGCCTAAGAGAGACGTGTGCACAACTGGAAGGTCAGAGCCATCTAAATCCTTTAACATGAGACATGGAGCCACAGGGTTTCAGTATTTCCTCACTATGCTTTTCCTTCCTTTGGTATGGTGTATAATCCATGACACTGTATGTTGGAAGTATGTAATTTGCGTTTTCATTTTACAGGGGTTGTGATCTTAATTGTAATTAAGAGATTTCCTTGAGTCTCAAAAGGGACTGTTGAGACCAGAAGACTCCGGGGGCTTTCAAAGCTGGACTAAATGCATGTTGCATTATGACATGGCCACAAGCCTATTGGGTGGAACATGGTGGTTTGAATAAGAATGGCTTCTCCAGGCGCACATATTTGAATACTTGATCACCAGTTGGTGTAATTGTTTGGGAAGGATTGGGAGGTGTGGGCATTTTGAGGAACTGTGTCACTAGAGGTGGACTTTCAAGTTTTAAAAATCCTTGTGCTGTTCCAGTATGCACTCCCTCTCCCTCCCTCCCTCCCTCCCTTCCTCCCTCCCTCTCTCTCTCTCTCTCTGCCTTGTGGCTATGGATCGGATGTGCACCTTCAGCTGCTCCTTCACTCTGCCATTGTGGACTCTAACCCTCTGAAACTGTCAGCTCAATTAAATCTTACTTTCAAAAGTTGCCTAGGTCACACTGTTTTATCTCAGCAATAGAAAAATAACTAAGACATGAGGTAAGGAAAGGTGGCAGGCATGTTGCTCAACCACCCTGAAGTTCTGTAGGTTTGGAGAGTGTCCAGCCCTCTCCTAGTCTAGGTTTATTCATGACACACACTCCTTATTGGTTAAGCTGTATCTACATGGAGTTGAACTTGCATTAATTTCGAAAAAAGATTTATTACTTTTACTTTGTGTCTTAGTGTTTTGTGCATGTGTGTGTGTGCACGCGTGTGTGTACATGCTCAAACACATGCACGAACTATGTGCTCTTACTGCTTGTGGAGTGTGGAAACCAGAAGACGGTGTCAGAGTCCCTGAAACTGGAGTTACAGATGACTGTGAGCCACCATGTGGGGGCTGAACATTGAACCTGGGTCCTCTGAAAGAACATCAAGTGCTCATAACTGCTGAACCATCTCTCCAGCCCCAACTTGCATTATCATTTTTTAAAAAAGCTAAGTGAACTATCTGGTAAACATAAAAAACAAACACACAGAAACCCCGAAGTCTACAAATCAGGTAACAGTTATTAAAACCTAGGAAACTCTTAGTATTATGTCTTCCATAGTTAAGAGATTGTTTTCATCCCTAAGAGTTTCCAACATGTACATAAGAGCTCAACAGATTACAGATTAGAGTAACAAATGATAGCAGATCAAAAATGGACAATTAAGGCCAGGGTGTAGCCCAATGGTAGAGCTCATGCTTAACACACACTAAGACACCACATATGCATATGTTCGCATAAATGAAGCGGGCAGTGTGATCAGCATTCTGTATTTTTTTAAGTCCATACATCTTTACTTGTAAGTGTTCACTGCAACAAGTCATTTGTCTGGTCGAGGCCTCTGGCTTCTGCTATACCACTGATACTGGCCCCTCTCTGGATGCCCTGTTGTTGCCCTGTGTCATGGAGCTCCCACAGCTTTGATCTGCAGGTCCGGCTCCTTCACATACTCTAGCAGTCCATACACGAGGTGGATGCTGGGGTGGACTAATACTTCAAAGCGCTGGTTCTGGGCCTGGGTGGTGGCTGGGTTGGTCAGTTGCCGTCTTTCCCTCATGGTCACCACCAGGGCGAGCACTCCAGCCCTGCCCTGGCTTGCTCACCCAATGCAGCAGGCAGCAATAGCTCTACTGTTCTCATCCCTCAGGACCAGCTCACCTGCATCCACACCACCAGGGCCAGGTGAGGGGTATAGACTGCTCTCCCCAGTACTGCAGCCACTGAGGGGCAGAACCAGCTCTCCCACTCTCATGAGGCTAGTTCTCCTGCCTGTCACAGGTAGCAAGGGGTAGGGGGGCATCTCCCCCCCCGCCCCCCCGCCAGCACATGGCAGATCGGGGGGGATGGTGAAGTCAGCTCTCCTGCTCTCATGATCTCAGGGCCAGCTTTCCCACCTGCCACAGGCAGCAAAGGACAGGGGACAGGGGACCGGGGAGGGCATCTCTCCTTCACCAGTTCTACTGTATGGCATGTAAGGGGTTGGGCCAGATCACCTGCACCCCTTTCAACAGGTTCAGCTCTATTGTGCTGCCCAGGTAAGGTGCAAGGCCCCCTCTTCCGAGTGCTGCAGCCGGTGAGGGGCAGGGTCAGCTCTCTCACTCTTGTGAAACATTCTGTATCTTTAGAACTTTCAGCTTCTCGGACAATAAGAAATTTGTGACATGGAGTACTAGTGTACAGGTCAAATGCTTTCGATACCAACACATCACTATCTAATCCTGGGGATGACTTCAATATCAGTCCTGACGAGAGGAGAGTACATGAAGGAAGTACTGGTTTAATGAAAGATTAGGCTGGCTTAAGAGTGAAATTTGAGCTGGGTGTTGGTGGCACACACCTTTAATCCCAGCACTCAGGAGGCAAAGGCAGGAGGATATCTGTGAGTTCGAGGACAGCCTGATCTACAGAGGTAGTTCCAGAACAGCTAGGACTGTTACACAGAGAATCCCTGCTCGAAAAACCAAGGGGGGTAAAAAAAAGAGTGAAAGAGTTCTTTCTCCAAAGCAGGAAAGTCAAACACCTAGAACTTCGAAACAGCAACTAAACTCCTGACAAAGTGCTAAATATAGTACAACCCTTGGCACAATGTAAGGTATTCAATAAATATTAGTTCTCTTTGCAATGAACACTATTAGAGGCTCATATTATGCATGAAGACATAGTATTATACAAATTTATATATTATATATACGTACTTTTAAAAAGCTAAAGAAAATATTGAATAACACCCACTTTCCTAGCAATGTGGCAAGCACAGAGAGAAGAAAGCCATGCATGGAGCATGAAATGAGCCATGTAAAACAAAATCAACACAAATGTATGGATCCCAAGAGCCTCTAGGTAATGATGGCAACCTAGAGAAATAAGCAGAGCCATTCTACAGTGTGACAGATTCAAATATAGACTCACAGTGTCAGGAACATAGGGCAAGCCATAAAACTGCTCTTGTGTTTCCATGAGGATGTCTGTGGTTGACTTTCTCAGGGGATGTTGGCCATGGTAGATTTGATCCAGGGCGGCATAAAAGACCTAGGCAGACAGAAACCTCTGTTTAGCTTTGGTAGTCCATCCTGTATTTAAGATGTGGTCAGTCAAAGATGTTGTAAGTGCACCAGAATGGCAATTATGAACCACAGCTGAAAAGACTCACAAACATAAACATGTGCTATTTGAGAAATATTCCACACCACATATATGACCAGCCAGAAGCTTAAAGGGTACACTGAAGCTTTCCATAATACACATTGGTGTTCAGTTTTGAACCTTATCCATCATTAAGTTTGTGGTCACAAAATTGGAATTATGCAGTTAAAAAAATGTAAAAACAAACAACAACAAAAAACAAAAACCAACATTATTGGTTGTGGCTCCCCGTATCTAACAACTCCTGTTTGGTTTCATCCTGGACCCCGGTAGATCATAAGTGAGAAGTGTGAACTGGTCAGAATCCTAATTTTGTATCTAGAGGTAAAAGAGAGTAGAAGATGATGTCAAAAGCATTCTAGTGTGTGTGTTGGTACAGAAGTGACAAACTAGAAGTGACGCAGCTGCTGTAGGGTTTGGAGCAAGGGCCACAGCAGAAAAACAAAGGAAGCAGCTGCAATAGAGGGGGCCGGGAGAGGAGGAACCCCTGCACCCACCCACACACACACACACACACACACACACACACACACACACACACACACAGGGGAAAGCAGCTGTGGAAACGAAATAAAGTAAAGAAGCATCAAGGAAATTTGAGCACCAAACCTGCAGTTGGAGGAGTGCTGAGTACTAAGCATTATGTAGAAAACCAAGGAAAGAGAAGGAAGCTTTCACCGGGACATCTGATCCAAGTGCTTGAGTACTAACATAGTGTGAATTTGCCTTGTAACAAAGTTAAGTGATTTATTTAAAGAGAAAATTTGACATGCAGTTACAGCTGAGGTGCATCTTTCTGGTTTAGAAATGGAATCTGCAAAGAATGTGCAGCTGCTGACTTAAAAGAGGTGAGGATTAGTCTGGATAAAAGGCAACATGCAAACGACCTCTGGCTGCTGGCTTCACCTACATATAGAATTCTGCTTGTGAATTATAAGGCTAAGTTAAGCCTTCCCTGGAAAAATACAGACATTTTCTGAATATAAACATTACGTTCCCCTAGCTGGTAATCTAAACATACAGCTAAATACAGCTCTCTCAGTTCTGTCATGGGTAACAATAGGTAACAACAGCCAAGAAAACAGACCCGATGGAGCAAATGATTATGAGCTGAAACTTGATTCTGCCCTGAACGGAAGAGGCACACTTTTTGTTCACTCTACAAACAAGCTAGAATTCAACACCTTTGTTTCTTCGATTATGCCTGTTAAAAATGATGCAAATGTACACTTTTATAAATACTTGGCCCCCAGTTTGGTGGCCTTGTTGGAAGAAGTATGTCATTGGAAGAGGGCTTTGAGAATTTAAAGACCCTATGTCATTTCTAGTTCACTTTCTCTGCTTTGTGCTTTCAGTTCAAGAGGTGAGCTCTCAGCTTCCTGCAGCCACGCCTGCTCCTCACTGCAACTATAGCCAAAATACACTCTCTTCCTTAAGTTGTCTTTGATCATGGAGTTTATCACAGCAACAGAAAAGGCTCCACTGTTCATCCAGCAGATGCATTCCTGGGACCCAAATCCTTAGCAGCACACAAAAGTACTCAGCCCATTTGTTAAACACTCCATGGGCAAAAGGAGATTCACATTTCCTAAAGCACTGTCTATACCACCTCAGAACACAAAACACTCCCCCATCCTGTCTACCTGCTGGTCTGACAGCATCAGTTCAGAAGCAGGATATAGCACCTGCATTATCAGGAATAGCTCCCGTCTCCCAGGCTTAGTGGTTCCTGGTTTGAAATAAAATCACTGAAACAGATGTTCAAAGAGAAAGCTCCAACAGACATGTAAAAGCAAACCAAAAGGCTTCAGTGCCGGGTGCATATGCATTTGACCTCATCGCTGAAAGGCTGAGGCAGGAGGATCACATTTAAGGCCAGCCTGGGCCATTTTCTGAAACTGTCTCAAAAATCAAAACAAAGTTATAAAAGGACTTTCCCCAGGTAATACCTTTTAAAAATCATTTTTAATTGTATTTAATTCTTTGCTACTGAATAATGTAAATCAAATGAAGGTCCACGGTTGTGTCTATATAACCATCATCATCCTCACTGAAGAAAAGGGACTGGAGCCAGGGCCTGAGCATACCTAGCACTATTACCTCTAGCTGGAAAACATACCAAGATACAACAAAAACAGAGCACATTCACTGCTTTCTAGGGACTGGATTTGGTTTTTCTGAGTTTTTTAAAAATTAAAAGTAACTGAAGAGTGCTTTCCATCGGTCAGAGTGAACTGGTCACTAGAGGGCACTGCTGAGATGAAATGAGTGTGCAGGAACTGCTGACACAACTAAGGCGGTGCAAGGACACAACACGGCCACAACAATCTCAGTAACGGCAAATACCCGAGCATCTGGTAACAGACCTGGCATCCAGATGGCTCATAAAATTTTTCTGTCTTCATCTGCTAACCCAGGAAATTGTCTGTAAATATTATCCTAAATCTAATGGTAATTACTGTTTAAACTTCACACGGACGACCACAATTTGTTTTGAAAGACAGAAAATGAGTAACCAAGTCTGAGCCCTAACTTGGTTTTGCAGCCCTGTGAGGCTTTGATGATTTCCTTGATGAAAATGGGAAATGAGCATATTTCATATTTCATATGCACCTCATACAGACAGTGTGAGAATTTCATGAGTCAGTTCTGGCCAAGTTCTTTGAACTGAGATGAAAGGTGTTCAGAAGCATAATTATTGTAATAAATGTATAGCGCTGGCAAGAACTGAAAGTTGAGCGTATATATGGGATAATAACTAGAAAACGTTAGCATGAGGCATGCACACATACCTGAAGCTGCATTTCTGCGGCCGCACAAACCTTCTTAGATTCGCAGAGTCGAGACACCATAGCTTTTGGCAGTGGCTTTATAAAACAAAACAATATACACATCAGTAGACTGCTTAATAAGCCACTGAAACAAGTACACTTCAGGGTCAGGGAATTTAAAAATAACATCAAATGGGGGGAAAATGAATGGCAGATCTCGTCTAAAAATATCTTCTGACTGTTTTAGTTGACAAGTTAACATGGCTGAAGACATTCCATTTAATTTTAAGAAGGACTAACTGTCAAATAAGGGTTTGCACATGAAAAAACAGGATTAGAGGGAGTGACAGTATTGGCACCGATCTTTCAAATCTATTTAAACCCCAAAGGGAATACTTCTGCTCCTTTGTTTTCAGCAAGTGTGTTCAAGTGCTCTCTCAACTTTCAAGCACACATAATTACTGACAACGAACCCAAAAGATTAAAATGCTGAGATAAACACTAAACCACAGTGCCAGCCAGGGTTAAAGCTGGACTGCTACCCTGAGAAACCAGCGTGATGATGAACTCGGAGGATTAGAGAGCTGGGTACAGTACGAAGTCCCCGTATTACTGAAGACTTTCTCTAGGGACTAATTAGACCCTAATCCTATGATACTCTACTCTTGAAAAAAAAATCGAATAATGTAGTTGAAGTAAGTACTTTTCTAAGTCTTTAGAATAATTTTTATGATAGTTACTGAAGAAAGCTAAAAATCTGTTCTGCAGAGAAACACACCATCTAAGAAAGCAGAGGCAGAAGTGGGTAGCTTAGCTATGAGTGTGGGCTCATTCACAGCTCCTGCTGTCCATATCCTATAACAGAGTTGGCCACACAGGACTCTGAAAGGCTTAGCTGATGAAACATACAGATACAAGAATCGCTCCTAATGATTCAGTGAAGTGAAAGCTACAGTAGGAACTGAAGACAACTCAGACACAAACATGGAGCCTTTTCTTCTCTTTGCACTTCCCCCTAAGAAAAGCCAACCAGAATTGGGGTAGGAGCTGCCCTTCCTATGACCTGGTTAAAGAGGAGAACCAGAGTAAGGAAGAATTGATTCTATTCTTAATGAAGAAAGAAAGCACTTGGGAATCCACCAAGACAGTGATAGAAAGACAAATGATACATTGTTTCGAATGTGAAAGCCCCTCATGACCTCATGTATCTGAGTATTTTGCTTCCACCTGGTGGCATTGTATGGGACTATTGTAAAGCCCTTAGGAGGTGGAGCCTTGCTAGAGGAAGAGATGGATGTGGATAGGCTTTGAGGCTTTATATCCTCATTCTGGGTGCAGATGCAATGCAACCAACCAGCTTCCTGCTTCCCTGCAATGATGGAGTTTGGGACTACATACCAAAATAATCTCTTTCACTCTTCAAGTGTTGGTGTCAGGATGTTTTATCACAGTGATGGAAAAGCAACTAAGACACTCATATGTGAGAATACCAGTGAATTTGACAGTCCCTCATCCCGAGGGACTGGTGGGTCATCCTAGAAGCCACCTATTTGTCCTCTGCGGTAGAGTGTACAAACTCATGTCACCCTGCAGGAGGGAGATTGAGGCTTAGGAGGTCTTGAAAGTATTCCCACACTGATACCAGTATTGTAGTTGTTCTCGTCTGTCTGAGTGGTTCCGGGAAGTCAGCCCTCTTGAGTAGACTGGTCAGTAAAAGGATCCCCAAATAAAACTGGAAGACAGTCAAACCAACAGGTGCACAAAAGCACAACACAGGAATACAAGCAACATGGCAAAAAGCAAGGCTGTTTTAGAAGAACCACGCTCTTCAGGGACTCAATGTAAAGATAAGATACTGCAGTGGGTTAGATGCTGGCTGAAGATATCAAATGTTCAAAAAATAAACTCACCAGTGACCTGAAAAGGGATACAAGCAAACAGATGAATTCAATTCAAGTCAGCAATATAGAGAGAAAAGTCAGCCAAATGCATGATAAAATCAGCAATATGGATGGAAAAGCAGGAGAACTTCAACAAGGAAACAGATTTTGAAAGGAAAAACATCAAATAATTAAAACCCTCAAAAATAAAAAAAGAAATAAATCAAATAATAGTGGAAAGCATTGGCAATAGACTGGGCTAAGCAGTAGAAAGACTATCAGGAATGGAGGACAAGGTCAAAGAAACAAAAAGTGTGGGTGGGAGGACAAACAGGAAGCATGACCAGAACACTCAAGAATTTTCAGATCTGACCAAGAGACCAAACCCAAGACTGCACAGGATGAAGACGGTGCCGAGATAAACACTAAAGGCATAGGGCGTCCATTCAATGACATTATAGCAGGAAGCTCAACCCCAAGAGGCTTTTAGAACCCTGGACATGAACAAGGAAGAACTTCTCCACAGCATAGTACAGTCAAGGTGTCAAAACTGGAAAAGAACATCATTTCAGGCTGTAATGGGAAAGGACTGACTCACCTACAAAGACAGCAGCCAGGAAAGCAGGGAAGGCATATGCAAGCTCTGAGTAAGCTGCTGCCACCCCAAACTGCAGCATCCAGAAAAGCTATCTTTGAAAACACAGAGGAAGAACATTTCAAAACAAGCAAAACCTAAGGCAGTTCATATTAAACACATGACAGCACTGCAGAATATTTAAAGGGATATTATATAAAGAAGGAAAAAGGTTCAGCCACAAGAACATGAAAAAAAAAAAAAATCTCATGAGAGGGATAAATGAAAGGAGGAGAGGTAGGAAAAAAAAAACCCATCAAGTCCAACACAGTCATCAGCAAACTAGTAGAAAAGAGAGCAACAAATAATTCAAACAGAAAAACAACAAAATCATAGATTAGTAAAAATATCTCAGCATTAGCCTGAAATGTAAGCAGCCTCTTTGTATCAATAGAGACAGACTGGCTGACTGGACAAAAGAGCAAGATCCAAGTGGTTTTTGTCTTTAAGAAATATACCTCACAAGCAAAGACACCTGCAGACTGAGAACCAAAGGACAGAAGTCAATCTACCTAGCAAATAGAAGGCACAAACAGGCTGGCACAGATAGCTATTCCTATACCTAACCCAGCAGACTTCGCACTAAAATGAGTAGAGATAAAGAAGCTCACTACATGCACACACAAAGTACAATTTCTGTCTTCCACACAAATACCCACACATATATGTGTACTTACACACACTGAGACCAGAGGAAGAGAAGGAGGTCACATTGTACACACTAAGTAGGAAGGGAGGGCCACAAGCATGCACCAGAGTGGGTGTGTGTGCAGGTGTCTGCAGGTTTTCTGTATACCAATAATGAACTTGCTGAGGATGAAACCAGGGGAAATTGTCCCTTTTACAACAGCTTCACACACACACACACACACACACACACACACACACACACACGTATACGTATGCACGCACACCTATAATAAAGCAAACCATACAGGTAAGACTGTCACAAGAAACAAGCAATGATCTTCAAAAACTGAGTATGTCAGCTTTAGCACAGCAGGTGCTGAGGAAGAGGCAGGTGCTGTGATTTACGGCTGCTCCCTATGGCTTTATGACTACTGGTAGAGGTCAATGAACAATGGCTTGTGAAACACAGACACAGGCAGAGAGAGAGAGAGGGAGAGAGAGAGAGACTGACAGTAATTTCACATCTGGCTTTTCTCTCAGCTAGAATGTTATTTGGCCTCTCTTGCCTGCTGCAGCAGTCAACACTGTCACCTGTGGTCTGCATCCTTAGGCTCAGGCACTACAAGGTCTTGTGGCACAGGAGGAGCTGGAATGTTAGCTGTCTCTTCCTGCAGCCATGCTGACAGGGAACCTACTGAGCTTTCTACATGGTTGGAGTGTGGAACACACCCAACAGGTCAGTGTTTCACAGAAAAGGCATTCCTGACAGGAAGGCAGCAAAGCCTGAGAAAGGATTAGTAGTCCGAATTATTAAAGGCATGCATGTAGGCTCCTGCAAAGTCTTGGCGTGTATAACAAGACAGGGTATCAGTACCACATGACAGATTCCATGGCTTTAGACAAGAGATGGTTCACTGGACAAGTGCCCTTCCTCTGACTGGTACAGTTGCTGGTCAAGAAGAAAACAGACAAAAATCTCAATTCTCCAGATTGTTATTTTAAAAAATACTACTGGAAAACTAAACAGAGTTTTTATCATTCAGTCCCCTCGGGCTCAAGGATCAAGCATGGGGTTTAACCACAATTTCCTGTAGAATGAAGCATCTGCCCTTTAGTATTCAACTGCACTAATCACAATGATGCTCACATGCAAACTTCGTCCCTTTAAGTTAATTTGTAAAACTCTATACCTTTGTTTGATTAATAGTCATTGTGCAATAAATGAATTGCATTAGATAGCAAACACTTTGACTATTTCAAAGAAAAAGAAAATGATAAAAATTTTAAAACGGAGTATGCTAAAGGTACCAGTCAACTTTTCATCCACTCATCCAATAAACTGCTAGTATATGATACTATTGTGGTTAGCTAGGGGAAGACAATAAGGATTTTCTCTTCTCAATTCAAGCTGTTTAAATTTGAGTTTTCATGTTTATTTAGGCATTGTTAACTTTTAGAAGAATCCTGCTTAATCAATGTGTTACTGTTTTCAATTGCTACAAAAAGGTCTCTGAGGCAGTTTTATAAAGAAGGAAAATTTATTTGAATCAGTTTTAGAAATTAGCAGTACAAAAATAGGTGGTCCTAATAGTGAGAACCTGCTGGGAGATAGTGAAATATGGTGGGGACATGTGCTGAAGAGATCACATGGAGAGACAGGGAGGAGATCACATGGAGAGACAGGATGGGAGATCACATGGAGAGACAGGATGGGAGGTCACATGGAGAGACAGGATGGGAGATCACATGGAGAGACAGGGAGGAGATCACATGGAGAGACAGGGAGGAGATCACATGGAGAGACAGGGAGGAGATCACATGGAGAGACAGGGAGGAGATCACATGGAGAGACAGGGAGGAGATCACATGGAGAGACAGGATGGGAGATCACATGGAGAGACAGGATGGGAGATCACATGGAGAGAGAGGACGGGAGATCACATGGAGAGACA